CGTGGACTATCGCCCACTGAACGCCGTAACGAAAAAGGACAACTACCCAGTGCCACGCATCGACGACACCCTAGACCGGCTACGCCACGCCCGATACTTTTCGTCGATGGTCTTGAAGAGCGGGTACTGGCAGATTGAGGTCGACTAACGAGATCGTGAGAAGACGGCCTTCGTCACGCCGGACGGACTGTATGAGTTTAAAGTAATGTAGTTCGGGCTGTGCACAGCGCCGCCAACTTTCCAGCGCGTTATGGACACCGTCCTTGCAGGCTTGAAATGGCAAAGCTGTCTCGTCTACCTCGACGATGTTGTGGCCTTCGCAAGCCAATTTGACGAGCACCTGAGACGACTGCGAGCCGTGCTACAGGCCTTCAAAGCTGCTGGGCTGACCCTCAAGCCTTCCAAGTGTCGGTTCGCCTATGGTGAGCTGAAATTCTTGGGCCACGTCGTGAGTGCTCAAGGTGTAAGCCCTGATCCCGCCAAGACGTCCGCTGTCGCCCAGTTCCCGAAGCCATCAGACAAGAAGACCGTTCGAAGATTCCTTGGGCTGTGCGCCTATTTCAGACGTTTCGTTCGTGACTTTGCGCAAATTTCTGCACCGCTGACGCATCTGACGAAAGACGACGTGCAGTTCCAGTGGGGAGAGGAGCAAGGGAAAGCGTTCGGCAAACTCAAGCGAAGGCCCCAGTCGCCCCCTATCCTCGGACATTTTGACCAGTCGGCGGAGACTGAAATCCGCACGCACGACAGCAATACCGGTCTCGGTGCGGTACTCGTTCAGCGACAAGAAGGGGCAGAGAGTGTAATCGCTTACGCAGGCCGGGCGCTGTCTAAGGCAGAACAAAATTATTCAACGACCGACAAAGAATGTCTAGCTGTCGTCTGGGCGATAACCAAGTTTCGCCCGTACTTGTATGGGATCCCGTTTCGCGTGGTCACAGACCACCACGCCCTCTGCTGGCTCGCAAACCTCAAGGATCCGTCCGGACGCCTCGCCCACTGGAGCCTTCGACTGCAGGAATTCGACGTAACCATTGTGCATAAGTCCGGGCGCAAGCATAATGACGCTCACTGTTTGTGTAGGGCTCCAGTCGAACCTCCAATCTCCGGCGCCGACGACGATGACGACTCCCGTTTTCTAGGCGCAGTTAAAGCTACCGACATGAGGGCATTGCCACGCGACGACGCGTAACTTAGCTCCGTGATCGACCACCTCAAAGGTCGAGGAGGCTCTGTCCCACGGGTCTTTTCTCGGGACCTACCGAGCTTTGTCCTACAGGGAGGCGTGCTCTTCAGAAAGAATTTCGGAACCAGCGAAACTCCCTGGTTACTGGTTGTCCCCGCCAGCCTCCGAGAAGAAACTTTTCGAGCGTGCCACGACGACCTAAGGGCCGGACATCTCGGCTACAGCAGGACCCTTGTCCGGATTCGTGACAAGTACTACCGGCCAAAGCTTCCGAAGACCGTCCATCTCTACACACGATCGTGCCATGAGTGCCAGCGACGCAAGAAACCGCCGTCGAAGCCAGCAGGTCTCCTCCAGCCGATTACCCCGCCAACCAAGCCCTTCCAGTAAATTGGAATGGATTTGCTGGGCCCTTTTCCACCGTCGACGATGGGGAACCGCTAGATAATCGTCGCCACCGATTATCTTACTCGTTACGCCGAGACGAAAGCCCTTCCGTCGGGGAGTGCGGTCGAAGTCGCCAAGTTCTTCATCGAGTCCATCGTCCTGCGGCATGGCGCCCCCGAAGTACTGATCACAGACCGAGAGTCATCGTTCATGGCACAGTTGACCCAAGAGATCCTTCGTCTAAGCCACACGGAACACCGTCGAACAACGGCATACCATCTGCAGACCAACGGGTTGACAGAGCGGCTCAACAAAACACTCGCCGACATAGTCTCTATGTACGTCGACGTGGAGCACAAGACCTGGGACGAAGTGCTGCCCTACGTCACGTTCGCCTACAACACAGCAGTGCAAGTGACCATGGGAGTGACGCCCTTCCAGCTGGTGTATGGCCGGGCGGTGACGACTATGCTAGACTCTATGTTGCCGCACGAGTCAGTCGACGACGGGAGCGATGACGCCCAGGTGGTTGCTCAACGGGCAGAAGAAGCCCGCCAGCTAGCCAGACTACAAATTCAAGACCAGCAACATGTCGACGCCTGCCGCTACAATCTTCGCCGGCGTGACGCCCACTTTCAACCCGGAGACCGGGTATGGGTCTGGACACCAATACGGCGCCGCGGTCTCAGCGAGAAGCTTCTCAAGCGCTACTTTGGATCCTACAAGGTTCTTCGCCGTCTCGGGGACTTAAACTACGAGGTTCTTCCCGACGGAACTAGATCATCAAGACGACGCCAACCACAACCCGAAGTAGTCCACGTCGTGCGCCTTAAGTCGTATTACGAACGATAGAACTTTGAACTCTCGTCAAACCGTGAACTGTGACTCACTATTCTGCTATCCTTTTGTTGTGGCTTTGTGTTTTATGTTGGATCGGGACGATGCACTTTTAAAGGGGGAATAATGCCGCGCGCAGGGCTGAGAAAGCAATGCTCGAGCAACGCTCGACCAACGAGCAAGACGCCCTCCGGGATTTTAAGGATTTGTCCACCAACCCAAGCAGCGCAAATTTGGCTAATCATTGGCCAACGGCTGGAAATGGTCCTTTGTCGAGTGGCCATACAGTGGCCATCCGTTGGCTGATGACTCGCCTTTCTCTTGCCATTGGGAAATAGGAACTGGCCATCAGCCATCGGCCAAGCATTGTCTGATGAAGGGGCACTCATTGGCCATTGGCCAAAAGACCATCGCCAGGCATTGGTCAATGCTTGACCAAATTTTGTGCCGCTTGGAAAGTTAATCATTGACAATCAATCTGAATGGTGAATTTAGCCCCATCAATGTACGCTGCAAAATCGTGGTGTAAAAGGTATGAATTGTGCTCTAACGCTACCCCCCTCCCAAACGTTTGTCCGTCCTGCCGTCCGCCTGTCCATGCGTCTGTGCATTTCCCGCTACATTTAGCGAGGAAAGAATTACTGCATGTCTGTTGTTGTTAATTGATGGCACGTGACCTGACATCACATGGCCTATACATCAATTAAGTTTCCCCGCCGAAGTCAGTAGGGAAATTGATGTCAATAAACCATATCTGCAATGAACAGCGTCATTTAGTGGGACGCCGAAGAACATGCCCCGTCTCACCAGTTCGCTTCGGCACTGGCAAATTCCAGGGCGCGAAAGCGTTGTTCGGAAGATACCTTCGCTCGCACAAGCACTCGCGTAGAGAAAACGCTTATGGAAACCACGCCCGCGCCCGTGCCTTTGCCGGTAATAAAAGTCAAATTTCGTGCTGGAGTGAACGTCCGCCATATTGGTTGCGACGAGGAATCAGCGACCGGTGGGGCGATGAGCACGTGCATGTGCAAGAAGATCGTAAAAACAATACTAACTCTTAACTCGCAGGAGTGGGTGCGGATCGATGACGATGATCAGTAGGTCTCGATTTTTACCGACACTGAGACGAAAATGAAAGACAGCAGAAGAATTTCGACGCAACAAAGATGGCAGCGCACAGGGTGTTGCCAGACGTTTGAACAATTTAGGATTCGGTCTATTGACGTATAGATAAATTAAGTTTCCCGGCTATATTCAGCGGTGAAATCGACGTCACGTGGCCTAAACACGAATTCAATTTCCCCGCCAAATTTAGAGAGAAAAGTGACGTCACGTGACTTGACCACGTTACCTTTGCTCTAAATCCATTTCCCCGATAGTGGAAAAAATGTATATCAGGTTACCTGACTTTACGCGGGATGTTTTGGTGGCCAACGAGGTCGAGGAAAGAAGTTCTCGACGAGCGCGCGTACGAAATCTCAACTCCGTTTTTTCACAACACGGGCCTGCTGACCGCTCTTGCGAGTGTGGAGCCGTGTGGCCTTGAGCCACTACAGACGTATGCATCAATTTTGTTTCCTAGATAAATTTAACGGGGAACATTCCCCTCGCGACCTACCCTGAGACCTATGCGAAATTATCGTTACCGCTAAACTTCGTTTGGAAATTGATATCATGTGGACCTGCTGTCACGAGATCTATACACCAATTCAAAATTCCGGCTAAATTTAGCGAGAAAATTTATGTAACGTGACTTTTCGTCCCATAGCCTATTTACCAACTCAGTTTCCACCCGGTTTTTGACGGGATATTTAATGCCATATTACCTGACGTCACGTCACTTCGCCACGAATGAAGTTTTCCACAAAATTTGGCTAGGAAATCGATGCGACGCGGTATGTGCGCCAAGTCAACTTCTTTGCAGTCGATAAACTTTTACGATCTACACTCCTCGAAACGACTCCTTTAATGTCTTCTAAACAAATCTAAACGACCATTTCTTAAATACATCATTTCATGCAGTATAGGAAAAAACTCTCAGCAAATTTTAACTCGGAAGCTAAATTAGTTTTTTTTTTTCATACAGAGTGTGTTTTATCAGCCAATTTCTATAAAGTTCTATAACATTTGGTTGTAAAAACAAGCTTAAAGGCCGGCTTCGACAGAGCCGGCTTTAATGACACCGAAAAGTGTTACGGCCATAGGGAACCATATAAAAAGCCTTCAGTCCGTCGCCAAGATTTGAACTCACCGCCTCAAGATTGTGAGCCGAATATTTTGCCCATTGAGATATGTAGTTTTTTTTATTTTTTTTATTGGTTAGATTGGAGCTATTCTAGACCGGTGGTCGCTTCACTCACGACCGAAGTCTTTGGCGTGGCGTGCGAGTGAGGGGTTTCGTACTACACCCTTCTCTTGTTTCTTTGAAGGCCTATCACACATTCCGGGCTTGCCCATGTTTGTCAGCATGATAAAGCATGTGTAAATATTTTACGGCAATATGGGGCTAAAGTGCCAATTTTCCGAAGAGCCACTTTAATCAGAAAGCTTCGGTTACAAGAGTTAGAAGAAATGAAGGCACACACATAAGAGCTTTGCTAATTTATTTCTGCTTGATTTCTGAATTCGTTTAGTCTGCTGCTTCCGGCCAACATTCCCGTAAATTGTCGAAAGAGACTGCCGGTGATCCACAGAACACAAAGTAGATAAAATAGCACCATCCATTTACCCTGTCGGAATCATAACGGCCAGCAACAAAAAGTTCGCACACTGTAAAAGAGAAAGATCATACTGTTTTTAATGGCGAATAATTTGAATAAAAGGTGCCAGTATTTGTATTTAATATTCGATTATCTATATTTATTTCTTATCTTAAAGAAAAAAAGTTCAGGTATTTTCGATGTAACTATGTCATCGCGTCTACCAGACCTTTGCGTAGTATATATTTTTGTGACTTTCGGTATTTAAACGTCCTATTTTTTTTTCTTCGAGAATTGCGAAATACAGCGCTTTAGTCTACGCAGTACGTGTGCGTCTGCTTTCACGCAGAGTACTCGAAGAACCCATCTCCGACACCTACCGAAAGGTCTCGGCAAATGACGAGGTGAAACATGCTCAGGGTTACATTAAAGACCTCATTTTTTAGGTGGAAACCACTCAAATAATCGCCGTCTGGTCGCTGTCAGCCTTGTCTGCTGGGTCCTGGAACTCATATTGAGCATAAGCACTAGCTGTTTTCTCTGGCCGCGTTCTGAGCATGCGTCCGCATTCCAGTGAATCGGCACTTCTCGCTTGGGTGATGTGCGTCGGAAAGGTGCATAGGATGAAACAGTGAGGGAGAGAAGGCGCGCGGTGGGCGTCAGACCGCCGAGATCTGATTGGAATGACTAGTAGGTAGACGTAAGTCAACTCACTATCTCATTCTAATCAGACCGGACAAAAGTGTCCTCTGTTCCTCGTGCAGTTTCTCGCGTTCGAACGCCGGATGTTGGCATTCAGTGTTCTAAGGCGCTCGAACGCTGAGTACAGACAACGGCAGCTAGTATTTTTGTCCACACGCTATCCTTCCAGTCAGAGCTCGGCGCTTAGACGTCCCTCTACGCTCTCTTCGTCTCTTTTCCCTCAGTTTCTCACCGTATATAGATTTTTTAAACCCCGTCATTCGGCGAGCCTCTCTGTATATTGTAGTGTAGATGCAGCACTAAACGTAGCACTATTTCACGGAAAGCTTGTGAAACGTCGAGGAAGCCAGCACTGCCCCAAGCACAGCCATCGGCAGCCATCGTTGGTGCAAAATGGTTATGGGCTTCTGATCTTTTTTCCATTTTGCATTCCTTTGGAAGCGTTTATATTCTTATTCGGTTTTTAGCTGGGATGACAATAGCCATATAGCTCGTGCTAAAAACGTTTCGATAGGCAAGAAAGGTTCATTTTGTTTTTGTTTTGTATTATTGTTTTCTTTAAAATATATATTTATATATTTTGTTTTTTCCCAGGAGGCGGCTTGCTACATTGTATGAAAAGCACGTTGGGGCCAGTCAGAGTTTGCGAAATACTCATTTCCGCGATCTAAACATGCCGTTTTTGCTGTGTGTCATGTGCTGTTCTAGTGTTCCCGCATTGGTGTGCATAGTTAACGTTATCGCGATGACTGGGCGAGTGACCGCGTGTACATGGACTGCTTCGAGGATACGACTAACAAGCCGGTGACGAGCGTTCGCTCGTCACCGGATTTGCCGCTCGACGGCGAGCGTTCATACGGTTTAGTGGCATCGGTTTTGCTGTCCAAGAATTTTCGCTGCCTCACTCCTACTTGACACTGAGTACGTCTTCACAGTCAGTGTGTGCTAGGAGTTTGGATGATTCTCATTGAGCTGTCTTTGGTCGCGACAGTGGCATTAAAAGCGTAAAGTACCGAACAGGAAGCGGAAATACAATGTAGACAAGATGCGGTTGCCACGGACACGCGCATGTGCAAAGTGGGGCAGTTTATGCGGGGCAGCAAGAACATTGCTGCTGGCAACCTACACGTACGCTGTATTATAGGATGTAGCAAATAAATTCTCTGAGTACCGTTTCTTCTTTGTAATAGATACATCCCTTGCAATGTTTAGTAACAATATTGAAGAATAATACTGGTGCGAAAGCAGCACCATATTAGCAACATCGTTTCCTGACGCAGTGGTCACTGACCGAAGGACTTCTTTCAAATGATCAGTATAAAAGACTTATGGGTACCCTTTAGGGGCAGCGATTGCATTAGCGTGTCATTGCGTTTATGTTGTGCGTGTGTGGGTCTTCTGTGTTCAAATTTCAGGTCTATGTTAAACGTAAAATGCGCGTGCATATGTGAAATAAATTATGTGCAAATGTGAATGTAACCCGTGTGGAACAAATTTTTCCCAGCGACAACAATGTTTTTGCCAAATTTGAATTTGACGCTGACTAGCGCCACCCGGGGTCTTGCGTTCGTTAGGAACCGTTATAGGATCTTGACCAAGCAAAATTTTAGCGAAGCGTTTTTGCATATCCGATACGGTACAATGGGCCGTCCGGTACTAACTGCGCATGTGCTACTGCATCAGACGCGCAGATGCACAACACGTACCGGATGGCCCATCGCACCGTATCGGATGTGCAAAAACGGTTTTCTAGCCGTTTTTGCACATCCGTTACTATATTGACTGTTACTACATACGTTTCCAAGGTACATAGTAACATATCTGACAAGCGGTTTGTGGTTTTTAGCAAGTCAATACTACTAGTTTTTTTTAAACAGTGTCCAATTAAAGTAGCAAAAATAGACACCTTTAGTTTTCCTCGGCATAGTACGCAGAAACGTTTTCGGCTACGTGCCTTTAGGATTAAACTTCGTCAATACACTGGCAGATACTAAAATTCTGGAAATTATTTTGAGGTAGGTCTCTTTTTAAAAATCGTATTTCAATATACTCTGTTCACCCTTAAGTTAAGAGTACAGCCACAGCTACAAGTGCGAGCTGGCCCGCGCTCCTGGCTTTGAGACATGCATTTTTAGAGAGAGAGAGCTTGTTCAGCGAAAGAAAGCTTCAAAGCAGCGTCCTTGGGCTTTCGTGTTTCTGGCATTGGCTGCTGCCTCAGCTTAAGGGTGAAAGGAGTATAAACGTGGTTCAACTATTTCCATCATATTGCGCATTGCACACGAATAATAAAAAAAATTCCGCGCTGCTCATTGTAAATAATCATGATATAGGGGCACAAAGTGTGTCCAAAAATGACAAGCGAACCCTTACGCTTCGCTTTAAGAGTGGAGCACGATAGCTAAATGTATGCCTCCATTTGCTCCCAAGAAGGTCATGCGTTTCTGCGTGTCCTAGTTCAATTGCACGTCAACAACGCGCGGGACGCTCGAAACATACGCTCCGCGGGAGCGTTTACGATGGCCCTTGCTGGCCTCTGATTTTCTGATTCTGCATCTATTCATGAATACCAAGCTGTACTGCTACAGCTACCTCGTGGTGCACTTGCAATGAACACTCTACTACTGCACTGTGATGCCAAGGGCCGTCGGTACAGAAGGGAAGACTTTAGACATGAACTGGGACCCAAGAGAAGTGGCTTCAATAGGAGCATACCTGATGAATAACGTCCGGATCGCCACACCGCGATCGTCAGCGGCCGCACGCAGGTTAGTCGCTGCCAAGGAGCTCAAAATCAATAACAGGCGATGCTCAGTCATTGATCTGAGCAACGCTGAAGTAAGAGGCAACATTGATTGGATACCATTTTAAGCGTTGAACTACGCAGTACACACGGAGTTGGATCCTTTCGGTGAAGTTACAAAAGAAACACGGGACACTTGGATGGTCGAAGGTTTCTAGGGCAACTAGTCTTCGATACGTTTTGTCCGCATCACCTTCTAGGAAGGGACAACGATCGACAGCCTACCGCACCAGTTACGGCTCTTTGGAGAAAACTGTTCGATTGTTGTCCCTGGTCGGGCACCGTTATGCTTGAGCTGTAAGTGTACTGGGAACATACGACGAGACTGCCGTGCGCCGCGATGTTCTGAATGTCATCGCTTCGGGCATAAGGCAGAAGGCTGCGTGAGGACCTACGCTTCAAATGTCGGTCGTCAAGGAATTGACACGTTAAATTAAATGTCCATGTACGCTGACAAGGTAGAAGGCACAGCAGCCAGCACCGTTCCTGTAGTCCTCAGCTCTGTATGCAACGGCTGGGATTTTTACCCTGAAGAACGAAACCGAAAAGCTGCTAAAGATAAAAATACTACAGAAAGGACATCCGCCACAACAAACGAGAAGAAAGTCTCGAGCTCACCAAAGCCTCAAATTGAAGAAAATAGCAGTTTTAAAGACCATTCGACAGCGGCTGAGTCCCCGGAAGCCGCCAAAATGCCTGACTCAAATTAGGCTAGCAAGCAGTCCCTGTAAAAATAAACCAAGATCCCGGAAGCCGAGAACCAATTCGCTGAATAGAGGTTTCCTAAATTAAGCTTATTACAAAAAAGGGGGTTACAACTCGCTTTGTACTCGACAGAACTCAGAGTAATGTTTCAAGTAGAAAGGTTTGGTGGATCTACAGAGGCTACTTTGGAACAATCAACTCAGACAAGTCATTGGGGAAAGGGAGGAAAATATTATTTTTCTCAGTATCCTGCATATGTGCAACGTTTCCGCCTAGAAATGTGTGAGATGCACAAACGTTGTCAATTTTCGTCTTTGAATGTAGTATGTGGATTGAAGTCCACCCAAAAGCAGCACCAGTTACAGCAGTTCCAAGGTAAAGAACAACTGGATATTTCGGCAGCTGAAGGGACACAAATGTTCGATGACGAACAGGTTGAGCGAGCCTTGCAACCATTCGTTTTAAGTACGAGGTTTGTGCCAACCAGGCCATTGTTGTGTCAGCAGGGTGTTTTCAATTTAACGAAACAGTAAACATTTCTAATTTGTCAGTTATTCCTTATTATCAGTGTAGTTTCATTATACACTCCGTGCGACGCGACTGGCGCGCCGCCGCGCGGCTGTTACCGAAGGTTGGCAGTGAGAACGTCAAAGAAAACGAAACCGAAACCACGCCACGTACGTTGATACACATTGAAGTCGGAGCGGTGGGGTTGCGCTGGGTTCACAGCATGAAGTGCTGCCGGTGCTGCGTCGTTAAGTGCTTCAATAGTTATGCGTCGTATCTCGTGGGGACAAAGTTTCACAGTTTTTCACCTCGCAGATGTTTTGTGGGACAGCGACAACGATGGACCCGTGCCGTAG